CGCAATTGAGTCCAAAATTTCTATTGCTAAGTGAAAGTTGAGTGAGTTTGGCCCCGTTTTATGACCTTTCTTGCCACCGTTGTTAAGTGAATCACTGCAGTTGTTAATAACATGGTTGTTAAGTAAATCTGACTTCTCCATTGACTTTGCTTGTCAGACATTCGCCAAAGGGGGATCACGTGACCTGGGATGCTGCAACTGTCATAAATAATGACTCAGTTACCAAGTGTCTGAATTTTGATCACGTGACCCTGGGGATGCTAGAATGGTCGTGTGAAAAACGGCCATAAGTCGCTTTTTTCAATGTTGTTGTAACTTTGAACTGTCACTAAACAAACTGTTGCAAGCCAAGGACTTCCTGTATATCTCTTTTGTTTGGGGGGGGCAGAAGGGGAAACGCGACAAGTTAGGCATTTTCCAAATTTTGGGCAAGCCAAGCCCCAAAACTTCTCCATCATTGCCTGGGGGATTCGCCAGCAAGAAAATCCTCAGTCTATTTTCATACTTATCACAGCTTTGCCAAAGAAAAGCTCAGAGCTTAGAAGCTGACTTCCACCGACGTGATCACACCCAATGACGTTTCTCTCACGGTGGTTTTTGACAAAGCTGCATTTGAGCTGCACATAATCTGTCTTTAAATGTGAACTAAACCTCGGATACCTGCATAATACTCATCAAATGTTAGGGTGGAGAAAAGCTGAGGTGTTAACAACTTAAATCAACGGTGGAAATACAGTACATCATTTCTTTTTGCATATTTTGTGGGCTTTGTCTTGGAAACAGACGTGAGCCGTTAGGAAAACTGGAAGCTTGCGTTTCTAAGTTGTGGAAACAAAACACGTGAATATGTTTTCACTTTTTGGTCAAAGAATAAGTAGAGGATTGGGGATACTTTACAGAAAATGCACGCGTGCATTCCCCCCACAATTCCTTCTTCACCTTTTTCTCCATCAGTGATTTGTAATACTACGAAAAAACAAGGCAGCGCTTCCTGTTTTTCCTACTGCAGCATCGTGAAAACAGGGACCTCCAGGTAGCAAACATGGCGGTGTCAATGCCAGAAAAGAAATGCAGGTAGAGTCCTCGACTTATCAGAACTTTCATTGCTAATTGCACTCGATTTTACAAGCTTTTTCCCATGGTTGTTAAGTGAATCCGGAGGTCGTTAAATGAATCCAGCTTCCCCCATTGACTTTGCTTGCCGGAAGCTGGCTGGGAAAGTCACAAAGGGTGATGATGATCACATGAGCCCAGGACACCGCAACAATCATAAACATATTCTGTTTGCCAAGCTCCCAAATTTTGATCACATGATTTGTGATCGGGGGGGGAGAGGGGGGGAAGAAATGCTACAACATTCATAAGTGTGAGGACTGTTAGTCACTTTTTTTCAGTGCTGTAGTAACTTTTAATGGTCACTGAATGAACGGTTGTAAATCGAGGGCTACCTATAGAAAGCTGCAAAAATCACAGCAAAGATGCCAGAGACAAGGTCAAGAAGATGCAGCTATAATTATATAACCTTTAAGAGGGAGAAGAGGTAATAAGATTGTAAATATCTGTTGAAAAGAAGGTTGGAAGTCATCCTTATTTTTCTTTGCTTTAGCTTTTTTTCCTTTCATTTTCTTTTTTTTTTTGCTTCTTACTTCTCTTTTTCTTTCTTTCCTTTTTTAAAATTTATCTTTTATTGTATGAAAAAATTCCTAATAATATATTTTTTTAAAAAAACAAACAAACATGCAAATATAATTAAATCAGTCATTCTTGGTGCATTTTCATCCTCTTCCTCCTAGCATAGTGATGGCGAACCTTTTAGAGACTGAGTGCCCAAACTGCAACCCAAAACCCACTTATACATCGTCGGGTGCCGGGTGGGTGTGGCCCATTGGGTGGGTATGGCCCACTGGGTGGGTGTGGCCCATTGGGTGGGCGTGGCTGCGGTGGTAACAGCAGACTGGGTGGGACTAAAAAGTTCAATCAATCAATTCCAACTTTGCAAGATCTTTTTTTTTTCCCGCGAGAAGCTGAAATTGACTGATTGAACCTTTTTTTTTTTGTACACGGCGGCGGAGGCCTAAAGCAAAAAGGTTTTATAAAACCCAGCTGAAGGCCTAGGACTGGGGCGACGGCGCGCGTGCCCATAGAGAGGGCTCTGAGTGCTGCCTCTGGCACCCGTGCCATAGGTTCGCCACCACTGTCCTAGCATATTCAGAAATGGTGCTCTTCTATTCCTTGTGCTATGTTAGGAGGACGTATACCATGGTGTTGAAAAAAATAACAGTTTCTGATGAAAGAACTGGATTAGGTGGGGAATTTAATTAATTCAATTTACACATGTCTGGGATACAGAGAAGTCTTGGCTTGTCAGACAGAGCTACCCGGTGAAGCAGTAATTCTCAAACTTGGCCACTTTCAGATGGTGGATTTCAACACCCAGAATTCCCCAGTTAGCAAGTTGAAATCCGTACGTTTCCAAGTGGCCAAGTTTGCAAAATATCCACTCATCCAGCCCAGAAAGATTTCAAGACAAACTTTTCTATTTCTTCCCAAACTTCCTTGTTTCCGAAACCTTCATACTTCATACTTGTGATAGGAATTCTTCTACCTAATTTTTCTTTCCATGTGGAGACACGCAATTCCTTTCTAAACAGAGAGAGAAATTTAGCACGAGGGCTTCATGCCTGGGTCCACCCAACACTTTCAGCTAGCTCAGTTACACATCCAATGGATAGTATTCACACAACATGCCAACTTTGGTTACTTTTAACCTTGTTTAGTTGTTGGTTTTTTTTTTAAAAAAAATAAATGATCTGGTATATTGTGTGAACCCAGTCCATTAGGTTCATTTGCTGTGTAAACCCAGGAAATGGATAAACTCTATAACCAGGCTACCTATGTTGTGTGAACAGAGCCAGAGGAAAACAGTACTAAAAGATTTATGGAAGAAATTCCATCTTTGCTTGACAGGCCTTGTCTCATGCATCTTACTCTAGTTTTTAGCAGAATCATTTGTCTTCTGTTACCTGTAATTTCAACCTCTTAAAGGCAGAAACCTGTCAAACTATATCCAGACGCAAAAGCAGGATAAGCGCATTTGCTACACACAGATATTTTCCACTTCCAACCATTTTCTCTTGGGGAAGGCAACATGCTGCATTCACACGACATATTTAACCAAATATGATATGGACGTAATGCCTGCATTCACACAGCATGCTACACTTGACAAGTTTCAGCCCTGGCTACTTGTAATTCTTTTAGGTCTTGTGTGAAACCAGGCCATTTGGATATGTTTAGGGTCTAATATATTGTGCAATATCAGAAAATGTGTGAATTCAGTAACGTGGTTAAACAGAGGGTGTGAGTACACCCTATTATCAACCTGAATGGTGCAACTTTATAAACCTACCATGATATGTATAAGTAACAAACCATGATAAGAAAGAATTTTGAGCTTGTTACATTAGCAGAAGATTTGTTGACACACTCTTTATCTTTATCTTTATCTTTGCAACTGGAAGGACGATGAGCGCTTAAATTTTTGCATGCTATCTCTAGATACCAATTTCTACACTCTACCACACACACTGAGTTGTTTGCAAATGCAGAAGTACTGAATAAGCACACCTGTGATCCCATATTCCAAAGTGCAATCCTTAAGAAGAAGAAGGTCAGAGTATTTCTCAAGGAAACGAAAATAAAATTTAAAAAAATCAGAACAGAGATAGAAAAAAAAAAATTCAGGCCACGGTCCTTTTGTTAAGAAACCTATCACCGAGAGAGAAGCTGTTAAGTCAGGCAGTTGTGTGAAGGGGTGACATGACTTGTCGGGAGGAGGGAAAAGGTTTTGTGAAAAGTGCAAAAGAAAACAGAAGTGAATTAAAGAGCTGGCAGATGTCCCAAGCCACGGTTTTCCAGCGAATAATATACCCCACCCCAAAGGTAAAAAGCAAGGAAATTTCCAGGATGATCAATGAGCCAGACCACACGTTTCTATTTTTCAGTCTTTGTCTCTAGACAACAGAACAGTTACCTCTAATAATCATTGGCAGAAGCCATTCTTACCCCAATAGCTTAAATGCCATGCCTGAAAAATTCAGATGTCTTTCATCTTTCTTCCAAAGACGCTGAGATGGCAGCAAAGAGGATCTTGTGGGTCGCTGAGACGGGGCCCAAGGGCAGTACGTTGGACCACTTTCACGCGGTGAGTTGAATTGATGCCAATATGTCTCGTGACGACACCGACAAGGACAGCTTCGAAGCCCAGGCTACGAGACCTACCAAGATGATGGAGTCTCTGCATGGTCCTTGGCTGCTCAACTGGCCCACACCCCCTGAAATAACCTGGTTAATTGAATGTCAAGATTCTCAACCTAGTAAATAACAAAAAGGAACCTCTCAAATGTAGCCTTTTTCTGGTGAGAAGTTTCCACCAGAAAAAAAAGGAGCAAAAAAGAAAAAAAAAGAAAAACCCCAAAGGAAATTAATAATCATAATAATAGCGATAACAATTTTTTTAAAAAAAACCTTTGTGGAATCAACATTCCAGGTTCCGTGCATTCAGAAGGCCAACTGGCCCAAAGAAGAGGAGGAGATCTCTCTATTAAACCGCAGAGGTTGAGGGGAAGGGGGACTGATGCGTTGCCATCAACTGTTAGAGCCCTGTGTCTTTGCAGTTGTGTTAAACCACAAGTAGTTCAACCGGAAGTGTCTGAGATGAAGGGTGAAGAGAAATGGCGGTAGAAACAAATGCATATTTTTTTGTTTGTTGTCGTTTTGTTTGTTTTCTTCTATCCCTCACAGTGATGGGTTCTTGATAAAATTTCATTTCTCTCTCTCTCTCTCTCTCTCTCTCTCTCTCTCTCTCCCCCTCTTTCTTTCGTCATTTTTTTTTCTTCCAGAAAGTAGAGATGTCTTCGTCTCCCTTTCTCCCCCTCTCTTGGATCCTTTCCCTTTTCACCTGTTTCCGTTGCCTTGTTCTGCATCGTTTCCCAGGTGCCCTAAATCTTAAATAACAGAGTCACAAAAACAGACGACAGCAGACCCAAGAGGACAGGAGGTTCTGTGCTGGCCACCGCTACATTGTCCAGAGAACCCGGTCCTGGGAGGAGAAAAAAAAGAAAGAAAAAAAGAGGTTGCCATTGTTGGTGTTCTGGTTTCAGTGAGTAGCTAGGGCAGACATGTCAAACACAAGGCCCGGGGGCCGGATGCGGCCCGCGAAGTGGTTTCATGTGGCCCATGAAGCCATCCTGGAAACAGTGAGGGAATGGCCCCCTCTGCCTTGGCCCTGGCCCAGATCGGCCGGGGGCCAATGTACAATTTTGTGGTGGCCATCTATGCTGAAACACATTCAGTCTTAGCTCCACAAGGCCGTCTGGAAACAGCGAGGAACCAGCCCCTGCCGTGTCGGCCTCGCCCCCTGGGTGCATGCTGGGGAGGTGTCACACTTTGTGAGGAATGAAGAAATGGACCATGCCTTAGCGCTTGCCCCGGTCCCACCCCCTTCCGCCAGAGACCCTCAGATCCGTCCCACTCCCGCCCAGGCCCCCACAGGCGCCCTTGATGCAAACTGTGTAGAGCTGGCCACACCCACCCAGTAAGCCACACCCACTCCATCCACACCCACCCAGTAGGCCGCACCCACCCTGGCCACACCCACCCAGCCCCCTGAGGGCAACGGCAATGCTGATGTGGCCCTCTATGAAATTGAGTTTGACACCCCTGAGCTAGGGAATAGCAATAGCACTTAGATATATACACCACTCCACAGGGCTTTACAGCAGCAGCCCCCAACCTTTTGGGCACCAGGGACTGGTTCCTTGGAGAGAGGTTTTTCCGTGGACTGGAGGGGGCACGGTTTCGTATGCTACCAGCTCCCCACCGATGGGGCTTTACTTGTTTGCATGGCATGCCACAGCCCGGTGCTGGTCCACGGACCAGGGATTGGCGACCCCTGCTTCATAGAACTTTCTGAGCGGTTTACAACATTGGCCTATTTCCCCCAACAATCTGGGTCCTCATTTTACCAACCTGGGAAGGATGGAAGGCTGAGTCAACTTCGAGCCAGTCAGGATTGAACTGCTGGCAGTCAGCAGAGTCAGCCTGCAATGCTGCATACTAACCACTGCTGCCACCACAGTCCAGGGAGCCCTAAAAATCTACTTGTGGGCTAAAGGATGAGGGCAAAAAGGAGAGTGAAGTCCATTTATGAGTTGCAGGATCAGAACTCCCAAGAGACATCATCAAGGGTTCCAACAGGTGAGGAAATGGACCAATGAAAGGGGAGGCTGAGTGTTCTCTGAGCTAGAACTCAAAGAACAACCAATCACGGAGAGCAGCAAAGACAGAACAATCTGATGCAACTTAGAATCTGATGCAGATCCTTGCAGCATCCTTAGAACAGTCTTAAAATTAAGTGCTTCGTACACCTTGCCCTGATACTGTCTATTCTTTCAACAGGTTTTTACTACAAGGCCACGCTTAGATTCCTTGGATACACTGGTGTGTTTTTTTCCTGTGTGAAAACATGCCGAATTTCCCCCACCTTCTGGCTGTTCTCCCATACCCTCTGCTTGAAAAATCAACAATTTGTCCAGAGTTCTGAAGGTGCTTTTTCAAAAGGCCATTGGACTTTGCTTCAGAACTTCAGAAGCTTCCTGGATGAGAAGCGAACTGAAGAAGCTTCTTGGATGAGAAGAGAAATGTCTTCAAGGAAAAACGAAGTCCAATTTTGAAAAAGCCCCTTTGGGGCAACCACAACCTGGAGGACTGAGAACCTCCACAGACAAATCTATCCAGAGGACAACCTCTAGGTGAAGTTGTCTCCAGGTACTACAAGGAGCTCTGGCTTCTAAAAGGTACTGTAGATGGTGCAAGATCTACGATAAGCCCCAGGAGTCTGCAAAGCATGAGAAGAGAGGGAGAAGGAAAGACTCACTGATAAGCCGCAAGCTGACATTGTAGGAGCCCAGACTGTTAGAAGCCAGGCAGGTGTAATTTCCATAATGTCGAGCGGTAACATTTGTGAAGAGCAATATGGAGCGTGTGCGTTCATTCTGGATCTGCAGTCCATCCAAGCCACTAGTTAATCTGCTAGGAAGAGGGAGACAACGAGAAAGTAAGTAGTTAAAGTATTGTGTACAGAGGGAGAAAAAGGATCATTGTGTTGGAAGAGTGGTGGGGGAGGAGAGAGGTTGGTCCTTGACTTAAAACCACATTTGGGACCAGAATTTCTGTTGCTAAGCAAGGCAGTTGTTAAGCGGGTCATGTCCAATTTTACAACCTTTTTTGCCACGGTTCTTAAGCAAATCACTGCAATTGTTAAGTGAATTGTGGAGTTGTTAATCAAGCATGGCTTCCCCCCCATTGACTTTGCTTGTCAGAAGCCTGCTGGAAGGTCATAAATGGCAATCCCAGGACCCCAGGAGCCTGCCACTGTTTTAAATACACGCCGGTTGCCAAGTGCCCAAATGTTTATCACATGACCTTGGTTGTAAATGTGAGGATGGGACATAAGTCACTTTTTTTGGGGAGTGTCGTAACATCAAGCAGTCATTAAATGAAAGGTTGTAAGTCAAGGTGTCATGGTTCCGACAGATGAAACTCTTCAAAAGAACTCCGAGGCATTGTTTACCTTAAAGAATCTTTACTTTGAGTTGCATAACATTGGCACTGCATAATCAAAGCCAAAAACTGAATTCCCCTCCCCTGAGCACATAGTATCAAAGCACAATTCCCTCCTCCAATTAACAGTCACAAATCACATTCTCGAATTAGCTTGAAGCGTGGGCTTCCTCTCCAGTTCTCCAGCCCCCAATTCCTTATCAGCTCTGGTTACAATAACCTTGTTTCTCATGCTAGGTTCAGTGTTGTTATGTCTAGCTGGACTCTCGTTCACATCCCCCCTCCCAGAATCATCTAACTCTAAAATCAAAAGGAAAAGGATGGTTACATTTCCATCTGCTGTCAATGCAAAAACATCCAATGTTACTAGCGTTGACACAAGGACTATCTTTATTTAAATCCTAATGCTTTCCCTTGGAATTGCTTGGAATTAAGGAAGGGTAGAGAGATGGGTTGATTACAGAATAATCAAAAGCAAGATATTCACCCATACACACACACACACAACACCCCACAAACACCTCAGTCTCTTCATCACTAAATAATATCAGATATTTCACTCCACAAAGAGGTCGCTGGAAATGCTCTACTCCTTTAAAGCAATTTCTAGGGTCATTTCTCTTTTCTCCAATTGCATATGAATTAGAAAGACGGAGAGATGCAGAGATTTTCTGTCCAGCAATATAAAATTCAATAGCTCACAGTTGTTCATTTTCGTTTTACTGGATAATTTTCAACCAGTGGGAAAACCTATAAACTGGTGATTAATGTTTCTTGGAAGATTTGCTCAACCTCAAAGATTTTCATCCATATCCCAGGTAGGCAAAGAAAGGGTTCTTCAACAGCGAAAGACTTTTTGTGCACCTTCAGATGTTCATTCAGTTGGGGTTATATATTTCAGATTTTGGAAAACACAACCACCAGCAAGTTTTAGGTCCGTGGTTAATTTCCGGTCACACAAAGGAACACCAGATTAGAGTAAATCAAAGCTGCTTGTGAAAGGAGGACATTTCTCTGATATACCTGATAGAAATGGGCTTCCCAAAACCTTGTTCCACCTCATAAGAAATATGAGGAAATAAAATAGCGGAATTCACCATTAAAATGGTGTAGGGTTTCCTGCCTGAGCAGGGGGTTGGACTCGATGACCCCCAAGGTCCCTTCCAACTTTATTATTACTATTACTATTACTATTACTATTACTATTACTATTACTATTACTATTACTANAAGCCTCATATGAACAAGCATGCATTATTGACTCAAAATTCAGAATATGTGGTTATCAACTCCTAAATCACAGCTTGGGGAAAGCTTGAAAGAAACAAAGATACAATATTGCCTACTGTAATGTTATGTTCACAGATGCATGGAAATATAATAAGCTTTCCAAAAGAAAAGCCCTTTATTTATTTATTTTTTTAGATGATCTAAACAGACAACTTTTTTTAAGATGAAACTTTTATTCTGGGACTATAGTAAATTCACTGAGGGAGATAGGGAGAAATAGGAAATATAAATAAATCAATTCTCAACTGCAATACTTTTTTTTTCTGGAAAATTCCATTATTTTTCCACTTAACAGATATCATTCCAGTTCAATCCACTACGGGTGGCCCTCAACGTATGACCACAATTGAGCCCAAAATTTCCATTGTTAAGTGAGACATTTGTAAATTGAGTTTTGCCCCATATTATGACTTTTCTTGCCACAGTTGTTAAGGGAATCACTGCAGTTGTTAAGTTAGTAACACAGTTATTAAGTGAATCTGGTTTCCCCATTGACTTTGGTTGTCAGAAGTTTGCAAAAGGTGATCACATGACTCCGGGACACTGCAACCGTCGTAAATATGAGTCATTTGCCAAGCATCCAAATGTAAATCACGTGATCATGGGGATGCTGCAACGGTCATAAGTGTGAAAAATGGTCATAAGACACTTTTCTCAGTGCTGTTGTAACTTTGAAAGGTCACTAAATAAATTGTTGTAAATCAAGGACTACCTGTATAGCTTTCACCAAGACTCTAGAAAGAGTACAGAGAAGAGCAACAAAGATGATTAGGGGACTGGAGGCTAAAGCATATAAGGAACGGTTGCTGGAATTGGGTATGTCTAGTTTAATGAAGAGAAGGACAAGGGGTGACATGATAGCAGTGTTTCAATATCTCAGGGGCTGCCACAAAGAAGAGGGAGTCAAGCTATTTTCCAAAGCGCCTGAAGGCAGGACAAGAAGCAACGGATGGAAACTAATCAAGGAGAGAAGCAACTTAGAACTAAGGAGAAACTTCCTGACAGAACAATTAACCAGTGGAACAACCTGCCTCCAGAAGTGATGAAGCCTTCCCTGAACCCAGATGAGTTGGCTAACTATCGCCCGGTCTCCAACCTTCGCTTTGCGGCGAAGGTTGTTGAGAGTGTGGTTGCTCAGCAATTCCCCCGGCACCTGGATGAAACTGTCTATCTAGACCCATACCAGTCGGGCTTCAGGCCGGGGCACAGCACGGAAACGGCATTGGTCGCGTTGGTCAATGAT